ACTCATTCAAGTTTATCCCGCCTTACACCTTCAAACCAAATTTTATCAAAATCGGACAAAAATTACAAATAAGTTATCGTGCGGATGGACACACACACACACCCCACAAACCACCAAACATCACATATATAAAAATACATATATAAAAATACATATATAAACATTAGGGTACATATATAAAAATTTGAACGAATGGCGTTTTTGGCCTCTGGGGACATCAAAATGAAAAAGTAAATCGGTCCCGGGCCTAGGTCTTACCATAAACCTACGGTAATAGCTACTTCCCTATAGGGAAATTCGCTAAAATTAAACTGTCATAACCTAACCAACTAGCCAAACTTGCTTATTATATATAAAAAGTATATAAAATCAAAATCGAATGAAAGGTTTACTATTTGAAAAAATTATTTCTGTTCATAAAATAAAACTTACTTACTTACTTGGATACTTGTTTTCTATATCTTTGACCGTGGTTACGGATAGATAGCGTCAAATTGTATATTACTATACAATAAAACATATATTTACAACACATAAATACTAAGGCTGTGGCGGAAATTTCATCCCGGCATGAGAGGTTCCCCTACCAACTCTTGTACACTATAGAGGGGCCTTTGCAAGAGAGAATTGTTCACAGTCGCTTTAAAAGCTTTCAGGTCTAAGTTCCTGACTCTTTCGGGCAGGGTGTTGAAAATCTTTATAGCAGAGTGCGGGTAGCTCTTTTGTGTTAGACTTAGACGGCAGCGAGGCATGTCCAAGTCATGAGCTCTGCGTGTTCCGTGGTTGTGATGGCTACTTCTGCTATTAAAACTGGTCAGGTTCTCTTTTAACAGTAATAGGCTGTTCATGACATACTGGCTAACAACGGTGAGGATACCCAATTCTTTAAAAGGGGTCGGCAGTGTTCTCTTGGGCCGGAGGATGTTATGACTCGCAAGGCTTTCTTTTGCCTAGGATATATCCTAGGCAGAAGGAGATTGGCCCCAGAGTACTATTCCATACAGTATATGGCTATGTAACAAGGAATGGTAGATGGTAATCAAGTAGTTTTTAGTTATAGCCTCTCTAAGCTTCCTGAGAAGGTAGAGTACTCTTGATAACTTGACGCAAACCTTGTCTGTGTGAATGTTCCAGCCTAACCTAGGGTCAATCCAGAAACCTAATAGCTTTACAGCCTCGTCCTGCTCCATCCTCGATCGCAGAGTGCAGATTAGGGATTGGGTTTTCGCCTAATTGATTTTGAAGCGGTTTGTTATAAACCAATCCTTAGCCATTTCCAGCAGGTTGTCTCCCTCTGCCCTCAATTGCTCAATGTTCTTCCCCCTATTGAACAAGGTGGTGTCGTCAGCAAATAATAAGGTTTGTCCATTTGGGTTCAGATCGTTGATCATTATGCTGAACACCACCGATCCCTGCCTGAGGCACCCCGTGCGGGATAATCTGCAACCTTGAAGAAGTTCCATTCAAAGACACAAGCTGCTTTCGGTCTGCCAAGTGGCTACTTAGGGTGTTCAAAACTGTGCCTCCGATACCATACCTCTTAAGCTTAAATGCCTCAAATTTTAAAGATGAAGTAATCGCATTTCAAGCAAAATACTTGACAAAAAGTTAGTGTTACCGAAGGGATTCGATCTAGATACCTGTTGAATAATACCTGTTGAATATCAGCTTAGTACCCTATCCACTACGCCACGACCACCGATGGCTGCACAGCGTACCGTTGCCCTCATAGTGTTCCCTCAAGAGAAGAGAATGACGTCACGCGATGACAGCCAATCATCGATATATAAATAGAATGTTCTCATTTCGTCCGTATTGAAAATCCACAGCTGAAATAAAAATTGTGCCCCCCCAACTCCGCAGTGTCAGGGGACAACATCGTGATGATATAGCGAAGCTTTAGACTCCAATACAAAATATATCTTTTCCCTCGTTCAGTACGATGAATGCTGTGAAATGTATTTCTACTTGCTTACGATCTTCGCATGTAAATGGTTGGTTTTACAAGTGTCAAAATACGCAGTTTCACATTAACGTGCTTTGAATACTATTTAAAGTGTCTTAGAAACTTACTTTAGGTGAGTGTGCATATCGAATCTAGACGTCTGACTATGTAACCCAATTAGTCTTGGTAATAAACATTCCAGAAAACTTAACCCAAATAGTATTTACTTTGTAAAAGTTTATGCCTTTCAGCACAGAAAATGAAGATCTCATCGCATTGTGTTCATTTTTTAAATCGATTAATAATTTTTCTTTTCTTTTTCTTTTCTTACTGTACAGATAAACCAAAGATGGCTATTTAACAACCAATCATTGCTACTCCGGCATTGTCACACAACAAACACTCTTTTATTGTTTGGCGGAAATCGAACAAGGACTATCAATACCATATTAATTATTCAACCCTCTTTCACATACTTCCCATTTGATCCATAGATAGGTATGGACTATCTAGATTCTACTACCTATGTTATAGTAATATTAAAAATGTATGCTTCTGGCCCCTGAACTATTTTATTAAAACAATAATACGGTTTTACGTACCTACGTAAATCAGTATTATCATGATAGTGTTATCTAAAAAATGTTTGTGTGTACGTACAATGTTTATGTTTTTATGTTCGTGTCGTGTGTTGTTTGAATGTGTTCTTGAAGAGTTGCAAGCTTTTGTAATGTTGTCTAACGTAAAAACCTATTATTGTCTCTATAGTAATATTGTATTATTGCCTTGCAGCACAAAAGCCATTGATGAACAATTTCTTTAGTAGGCTTACAACTAGACTAAAAATTCAAAACTGTCAGCAAAACCGAATGCTGAGCTTAAAATAGAGCTTAAGTCAATTAATTTCACATATTCTACCTAAAGTTATGGTGTAATTTAAAACCATTTGTGACAACATCAATGATTGGGATTCATTTGTTCAAAGACTGATTATTAAAAAATTATTTGGGGATTCCATGGGTAAAGTAGTCATTCTAATTTCATTATAAAGTTTAAAGGAATTTACCTAATTTACCTCATTATATACTTGATCTTATGCCACTCTGAAAGAATGCCCGCCAAACACGTTATTAGTGAGCAAGAATACAGTATGTGCTTGGATTTATTCCTGAGCCTGTTGTACACACTGAATCAACATTTACACTTCTATGAATTATGGTTTGATATTACCACTTAACGTAACAACTTGTAGATTCTGTGAAATCCCAAAATTCCATTTCGATGTTTATTCATGAGCTTCGTGATTATGAGCATCAACGGACTAATCACTGACAGACGGTGACCTACAAAGGAAAAGACATCTGAATATATTAAGCTTGTCTTCTATTTTGACGAGAAACATTATCGGATTAAAAGTGATCACTTAAAAATATAATATTTTGAAAATAAAATTGTAGTTCCACAAGCAATTATAATTACACTCAAAGTTCAATCGTTGCATCTGAATAACTTATTATTTTATTATTTTAAATAGAAATAATCTTATTTAGAAACATAACTTTTCATACACGTCCATTAATACGTCCATTATTATGTTTTTTAATATATTAGACAACAATGAGTTTCTGAAGTTTAAAAAATCAAGCTAAGCTAGGAAACCTCTATCCCCTGGATTGAGCATAATGAATAACCAATTTGAATAACTCACTTACAAAATTACAATTTTTTTTTAATAATTTAATCTTTATAATGATCTTTTACATGTTTTTGATTGAAAAGTCTATATGATACTATTGCACCGTTGTTTTTTGTGCTGTTAAACGCACCGCTTTTCATAGGATTTTTTTACACAAAAAACTAATGAGGCAAGCATACAATCAGTGATTAACATTTTATTCTACAGGGTGGCTGAAAAGTAACTTGCACCCCCCCCCCCCTTAGCTTTTCAACCATTTGAGATATTTGAAATCTGTTTGCGGCATTATTCTTAGATATGAGGGGCTACAATAATTATGGTCAATTTTGAAAATTTTGCCCTTAGGGGTAGCGGGGGTAGGGGGTAGCTCAAAGTTTTCAAATGACAAGTATAGTCGAGTTTGGTATCATTTTACAGGTCTTGACAAAACATAAACATTGACATAAAGAAAACCAAAATCGGCTCACTAATAACAAAATGGCACCCTAAAACGTTTCAAATCCAAATAACCATGAGGGTGGCAAAAAAATTAACTTGCACCCTCTTTAACTTTTTAACTATTTTAGATATATGAAATCGGTTTGCGGCAACTTGTTTGGATATGAAGGGCTACAATAATTATGGTCAATTTTGAAAATTTTGCCCTTAGGGGTAGCGGGGGTAGGGGGTAGCTCAACATTTTCAAATAGCAAGTATAGTCGAGTTTGGTATCATTTTGTAGGTCTTGACGAAACATAACAATTAACATAAAGAAAATAGAAATCGGAGCATTAATAACAAAATGGCAGCTAAAAATGATTGAGACAATGGTTATTTAAAGTAATTTTGAACTGCCATTTTGTTACTCATGGTCCGATTTCTATTTTCTTTATGTTAATTGTTATGTTTCGTCAAGACCTACAAAATGATACCAAACTCGACTATACTTGCTATTTGAAAATGTTGAGCTACCCCCTACCCCCGCTACCCCTAAGGGCAAAATTTTCAAAATTTACCACAATCATTGTAGCCCCTCATATCTAAGAAGGTTGCCGCAAACCGATTTCAAATATCTCAAATAGTTGAAAAGTTAAGGGGGGGTGCAAGTTACTTTTCAGCCACCCTGTATAATAATGAACTTTGACCAAATATATCGGTGGGTTTGTGGATATTTGCTGCAAAATCTAGCACATGCCTTTGCTTTGATTCCAATTTTAAAATAAACCCTGGCCCGCATTAAAGGCTATTTTAAGGGAAAGAAACAGAAAATAAATGGGGATTATTCTTGGCGACAATGTGACTGGCTAGCCGATATCTCAGTGACTTTCACACGCCCACGCACCAGTGTCTCCCACCATCCTCCGCCGCCGCGCCGCGCCGCTGTCGACGTATGACGTGTGGCGTGTAGCGTGTAATGTAGTCGGCGTGTAGTCGTAGTGTCAGTGTCAAGTGCGTGTACCGTGCCTCATCAGACAAGGAGGGTGTTAGATAAGGTTAGTTAAGTACAGTCAATGGTGGTCATGGTGTAAACTGGCAGGCAACTTTCCCTATCAGACGGCTCTACATTCAGACTGGAAAGAACGCATGTTTTAGACCTCATCTCACGGTTTGCTTGAATAAAACATTAAGTTGAAGTTAAATCTGTTGATGGATAGAGACTAACTAACGTTTTGTCAGTTTTTATCGTATTTGCTAAATTTTCAAAAAGCTGAACAGATTGTAAATAAAATTGTGTTAAAAAAAAAGAGAGATTAGTGTGAACTTTCTCATCTCCTATGTTGTTGTTCGTCAACAATGATAGCTTATAACAGGAGATACTATTTTGGAACAAGTATACTCAAGGTATTAAATGGACCCAAACCTACTGTCTTGTAATCAATTATATCAGTAAAATATTTAAAAAATGTCGAAAGTATATTCCATTGAGAACATTATTTAATTAAATCTGGGGAAATCGAATGTTTTAGATTGTTAAAGATATTACATAAGTTCGTCGGAGAGCCCTCCTTGAGAACTGTAAACCTGTTTTTTGTTTTATATTTATGACAGGCTTGATAGTGAAAGTGTGATGTGTTTACAATACGCTCTGTTGTTTCATCACAGATGACTAGCCGCTGTAAGCTCCGTAGGTCTATAAGAAACTAGTTTGGTTATTAAATTGTTTCCTGCTTCAAGGCCAAATCACTATGACTATTGATCATATTTTCATTCTACTGACAATTAATTCTAGGTAGTTTTCAGATAAATGGTTATCAGTGTCTTCGTCTCTGGAAGAAGGTTTAAGTTTCTTCTTTAGCTTTTTAGTTTTAAATCAAATTTTAAATGCAGAAAACGTCTTTTTAAGGTTTTTTTATAAGGATCTCAAAACTATATAACTGTAATTCAAACCGCTTTTTATTGGAACGAATGACTGTTTTTAAAACGTATGTATGCTTATTAATAAAGTGTGATAAATATTTTAAATGTCATGAACTGGTAATTAAGTACGTAATGTTTAGCGCTGCATTGATTTTGTAATATACCAGCTCTATTTTCATCAATGGTGGATCAGCTAAATTTGTTAAGATACAAAATAAAGTTTCAAAGTATAAAATTAAAATTTGTCCCCAACCCAGCAAATTTGAACTTTTTAAATTTGAACTTAAATGTCGATTGTTCATTTTGATATCCCGGCAAACTATATACTCAGAAATCTCTTTGTGTTCTGTACGGTTAAGTTAGTTTGAGACTTAATTATTACACTTGAAAAGTACGCATTTGGAGAACAAACGTACGATGTAAGCTTATCTAAGCGCCAAGCCTTGGCATCACCGGTAAAGACTGAATCATCTTACCTAGCCTATTACATATTATTGACGATTTTCATTGTATTCTTAAATTATACTATAACTGTACTCAAGTACAATGAAATTGCGAACCAGCATTTACTAGCTCATCTTTCGTAAACATTAGATCATCATTGTGTATTCACACTTCTGAACTTCTATGTGAACAACCACGATGAATCATTCAATTACATTACCAAGAACTGCCGCAGTTCCGTTGTATGCAGTGGTAGTGGTGTTAATTGTGATAGTTCTGTCAAGCACAACAAGCTGATAACGAGATACGAGATGTTGTAACAGTTAATCAGTCAACGACATCGGGGATTCCTGGAGCAAGGCCACGACAATTAATGCAGCCAAGCTTCTAAACACGTCATTTTTCTATGTCAGTCTCAGAGCTGTCGTCACGAAACACGATGTTTCATTAAGTAATTGCATATGTTTAGTGGTTCTACTCATTCGTTCTCCTTGATACATTGAGGTTATTCAATTGGTTAAACATACGAAACAGTCAACCGTTACTCCAATTCGTTGCCTGAATTAGTTTGACAAATAAAATAGGTTTTGGTTATGTTAAAATTGAGTTAACAATATTCAGTCCTAATCTATTACATTGCTTGTACCGAAACGAAACTCTAACGTTTGAACAGATACAAATGTAATACGTTTAAAATCACAAAATATTGTGATTGCTTATGTAATACCTTTGTATTTTTGTTGGGATGTAAAGACATATGCGGTTCAATAAGCAAGACAAAACCAGCGATCTTATCTCTGGTCCCAAGAATAGTTTGGGTATCGTGCATCTACACTCATCCCATCGGCTTTACTCGAATAGTCTACGAGACGCCACAGATTACACACACTGACATCAATGGTTTCTGTAATAAAAGGACATCACATCCATACTATTATATAAAAATCTAATGGTGTCTGTCTGTATGTGTGTTACTAATAGGTGCAAAAACTACTGAACCAACTGGGCTTAAATTTTACAAAAATATAGTTACCATACCAAGGACCATTATAGGACTATTCACACTTCGATACTGACCGTGGGCTTTGCCCCTTTGGCTTTAAAAGTTCTGAGGTGAGGATTTTAAAAGTAAATATTAATTAGTCTCTATGGCTGCAATGATAATACTCACAATGTTTACATTTGCTTTGACATTTCAATGTAAACAAGAAGAACTGCCAAATTGCATATTTCACATTTTAAGACAGCTGGTCCGATGAAATGGTATATAATATTTCATACAATTATTTGGTTGGTTTATTTAATCTAAAAATGTATCAAAGATCATTTATTCAAAAACGATGTCAATGATTATAGAAATAAAAAAAATATTCTAAAAGCTTTGCTGCATCAACTCAGGCTCTACTTTCGATTTTAAGGTGTCTTAAGTGTTATGAAAATAATGTTATTGATATATTTTCATGTAAACAATAAGAAAATTACAATGTTTATACCATGTTTTATATGAATTTGGAGTCTACTTTAAATTAGGCTAATTCGAACTGCTTAACATGGATTAACTTAACATAACTTTCACATCACATTGTTTTTTTATAATGTATATTTAGGTCAATTTAGTTATTGTGTTTTGCTAAACCTACGCTTAAATTAAGCTAAAGAATATCATCAATAACTAAATTGTATATCGTTGATTTAAATACTCATATTATATCTTAATATAGCTTTCAGCTCACATTTACATTATTTGATAAATTTATTATTTGTGTTTTGTCACATCACTGATTAAATTAAACCAAGGAAAATATAATAATACCCCCGCCGCAGCAAACCTGCAGACTAAGCGATTTCCATTTGCCTGATTGGATTTACACTACAATGTCTCCTTAAAATTATCACATTTATTCCCTATTTAAGTAACATTAGTTTAACGAGTATTAGGTTTGCTGCAACAAGGAGGGTAAAAAAGTGTTTTTTTTTGTTTTTTTTTGTAAAATGTTAATAGTTTAGTATGAAATGAATGCATTTTCCAAATTTGATCGAAATATGATCATAAACAAGCAAACTACAACAGTTTACTTATTCTCCATAAGAATAACATGGGAATTTTAAATTTACAATTTTTTGGAATTTTCTCCGTAATCATTAGGCGCACAATAACGCTTCAATATACTAAATTATTTGTTTTTTAAGCTCTACAAAATGGTTTGGAAAGAAAATGCTAAATTTTAAGTTTTTAGGGTCAAAAATGGGAAAACCCTATTTTTGCCCCATAAAACCCCCCATAAACCCCTGTTCCCATAGTCCGATCATGCTGGTTCGCGAACTCGTTCGAATAAACGTAGGTTTACACGTTTGTACCAAATTGCATCAAAATCGGATGATTTTTGCTTGAGTTATCTTGCTAACGGATATATATATATATTATATATATAAGTTTTAAAAGTAGGGACCTCAAAACGAAAAAGTAAATACGGTGATAGCTTATTCCCTATATGGGAAATTCGATAAAAACTAAGCAGTACACAGTGTTCTTTTGTTTCTAAAATCAATTAAATCTCTGTTACTATTTATTTTTATACATGAATTTGAACGTATGGTATTTTTGGCCTCTGACAACCTCAAAACTAAAAAGTAAATCGGTCCCGGGTCTAGGTCTTACCATGAGACCTGCGGTAATAGCTTATTCCCTATGTGGGAAATTCGTAAAAAAAAACTGTACAAATCCGTTATATATATGCCCACCGATAAAGGACTTAAGGTGGCAAACAACTGTTTTCCGTATCAATTTCATACGAGGAAAGTCTATTTAAAACAGTGTAGTGTGGCAAAAATGAATGGTCCTATATGAACAGCTGTTAAAGTAAACACTTAAACAAAATAATACTAAATGCGTAATTAACTGACAAAGATCAATGCAATTCTCAACACATTGAACACTAAAGTGGGGACCCGTGCACAAATTGTGCAGTTTAATAGGGTCAAAACCATTGACTATTCACCTCTAGTAGTAGAGTGGTATAGTCAATGGTCAAAACTAACTACTCTAGTTGCCAATGCAATATGAATCCAGTAGTAGAGGTGTAATAGTCAATGGTCAAAACTAACTACCTGCTGTAGTTGCCAATGCAATATGAATCCAGTAGTAGAGGTGTAATAGTCAATGGTCAAAACTAACTACCTGCTGTAGTTGCCAATGCAATATGAATCCAGTAGTAGAGGTGTATAGTCAATGGTCAAAACTAACTACCTACTCTAGTTGCCAATGCAATATGAATCCAGTAGTAGAGGTGTAATAGTCAATGGTCAAAACTAACTACCTGCTGTAGTTGCCAATGCAATATGAATCCAGTAGTAGAGGTGTATAGTCAATGGTCAAAACTAACTATCTGCTGTAGTTGCCAATGCAATATGAATCCAGTAGTAGAGGTGAATAGTCAATGCAATTCTCAACACATTGAACACTAAAGTGGGGACCCGTGCACAAATTGTGCAGTTTAATAGGGTCAAAACCATTGACTATTCACCTCTAGTAGTAGAGTGGTATAGTCAATGGTCAAAACTAACTACTCTAGTTGCCAATGCAATATGAATCCAGTAGTAGAGGTGTAATAGTCAATGGTCAAAACTAACTACCTGCTGTAGTTGCCAATGCAATATGAATCCAGTAGTAGAGGTGTAATAGTCAATGGTC